TTTTTTTGGTCATCTGCCAATCATGCTAACAATAGGAAGGCATTATTTTGTACATTTTATTAATATTGAAATATTGCAATTCATTGTACTTTTTTAAATAGTAATTACTATTCTGTATTTGATGCCAAATTTTATGGCATTATTGATTACAATATAATGTTTACTATAAAAAAAATGATAATTATAGTTATAATATAACTACTTATATATATATATATATATATATGTATATTTTTTATTTATATATCTTGAAATTATAGTAAAATTTTTTTCTCTATTTTTTATATAGATTATGATAAATTATAAAATTATATAAATATGTTTAAAATATCTTAAAATGTTTATATATGAAATATTATGATTTTTATATTGTATATAAAAATGCTATTTTATTTTAAGGATTTATATTTAAATATTTTTTTCAATAATTTAGTAATCATCTTTTGCATTAATACTTAAAAAAAGGAAAATAAAATATATATTTTCTTTTTCCTTATTGGTATAATATAAAAATAAAATAATGATTAAGTAGAAAACAAATATTATTGTTTATAGGCAGTTTCAATCATAATATTATATTATACATAGATTAAAATTATTTTTCATTAATTGTGGCATATTCTAAAATACGCGATATATGAATACAACATTGAATAAAAGTAAAAACAGTATAAATCTTCTTTCATAAAATGACGCTCTACTCAATTGTTCATTTTAAATCATTTTAATTTAAAAATATAGTTATCATATTTTTTTAATTGAAAATTAATTAATTGTGATAACAATATAGATTCAAAAATTAATTGATCCTTGTATATTTTTTTATATTATTATTAACAATAATTTTAAAGATAGTAAATCCTTTTAAATAGCACTTATTAACTTTCTCAATTATTATCTATTAATTTAAAGATCATTTTTACATTTTTTTTCTATATGTTATCTAACAAATATTTTATATTCTTCACTTATATATTTACAAATAATGCATCAAATATTTGTTATGCGAAAAACAATTTTTTTGGGGGGAAAAAAAAAACTAAAAACATGTGAATATATAAAAATAGTAATAGACACACTCTTTTCTAAAAAAATATTAATTAAAAAAATTTAATTTTAATTTAAATATAATTTATTTTATTAATTACCAAATAATATTTTTTATAATTTTTAATTTTGATATATAAATAAATATTATTTTATGTATTATATTTTATTTTTGACACTTTTATTTTATAAAAATAAGTTTTTAAGAAATCGTTTATATTTTGCATTAATGTATTGTAAAACAAAAAATTTAATATAAGTAAAGAAATTATTATTTTTTAAATATTAGATTAACAATAACAAGAGATATAAAATTATAATAAAAAAATTATTAACTTTTTTTTATGAATTATTCACATATTACGATTCTATAGTAAATTTAAAATATAAATATTTAATATTTAAGAGTGTCTCTATTATACAAAATTCGTCATTGATTTAAAAATAATACGCAAATTAACAATTATATAAAATATTGAACAATGTTAAGGTACATGTTTTTAAAGACCATCAGTTAAACCATTATTTCTGTAATAAATTTCCATCAATCATCTACTGGCGGTCCATAAAAAATTAATTCGGGTATTTGTCCGCCCTGTACACCAGTACCATTTGTACTTTCCGAACTGCATTGAAATTGAAAGTTTACATTACCAACTGTTATTTCTGACATGCCTTCTTGACCAAAATAACTTAATTCTCCTCCATCTAATATTACACTAGCTGTATAAAAGCATTCTGGTTCGATTTGAATTGGATTCTCAAAGTATACATGAAAAGTACTACTCGAACCATCAGAAAAAAATTTCGTACTATTTTCAGATAAAACACATCCCAATCTTTTAAGTTCAATGCGAACATTATAATCTGCAGCACCAGACGAACTTCCATATAGTCCAAAACCAACAACAAATATCCTTTTGTCAACGCTAAATTGGATTGAATCACATCTGCCTCTATAACGCCATTGATTTGATCTATATGCACATGACTGAAACCTATGACATACCTGCAAATAGAATGATAAAACAATATATGATAGAATGATTACTTCATATTAAATTTAATAAATGATTTTATTTTATATTTACTTGAGTTTTTAAACCTTGTCGAGGTTTAATAGGAAAACAAAGTTGAGGTTTATTACTAGCAGTAAAATGTAAAAAGACATCAATTGTTTCTTGTTGTGTTAAAATTCCAGTTTGAGCAGCACTATTAGCAAATTCTTCTAAATTCATAGCAGGAAGTCTAATTAAATACAAAGCAGATCCTAAAATAAGAAAAAAGCATTATAATATAATAATACTTTTTTATTTAAAATTTTAAATTAAATATTTACCCAATAGACGTCTTTGATTTGCCGATGAAGGTTCAAGTTCTTGTCGTATACATTCTGCAGTAGCCCATCTTAATGCAGCATCCCAAACATATATTTCCTTACAGTTTAGTGTTTCTCGAGAAAGCACTGATTCAAGAGTATGAATATCAATATCCACAAAGCCATCTGATCTTAGTGCCATTTCTGCCTAAATTATATTAAATTTTATATGTATTATCTTTATACAAATATTTTAATAAAAATATAATTTCTTAATAGGTAATAAATTTATTACTTTAGGAATTTGTTTTTATTAATTTTATATTTATCATATATTGATTTTAAAATAAAATTAAAAAATTCTTTCTTTTTTTAAATTAAAAAATATAAAAAAATTAAAATTTATTAAAATTAGAAATGAATTTTAAATTGATTAAAATATAATCTTATTAATATTATTATTTATCTAAATAAATATTCTATTATGATATAGGATAGAATTTAAAAATAAGAATAAATTTTTAAAAATAATTTAAATATTTTAAATATTTATCTCAAGAATACTATTTTTATTGTAGGAAACTAATTTTATAATTTCTTTAGGAAGTTTTTAATTTGATTAAACAGTTTAATAATAATATATAATTTAATTTTATAATAATTTATTACAATTAAATGTTTTACGAATACTAATAATGTAATAATATGTATATAAAAAATGAATTAAACAAATGTATAATATACAATATATATACATTACAAGAAAATTCATGTTTCATAGATTATTTTATTTTTATATTTTGTAAAAATGCATATTGTAAAATTACATATTGATTTTTCTTAATTTTACTTTTAATATAAAATATAATCAATAAATTATATTTTTACTAAGTTTATGTATAAATGAATTGTGAGTAAAACTATATTTTAAAAATTAAAAAATATATTTTGGTTTTTTTTCAATCAGTCTTTTTAATTATATTTAATTAATTTCACTAAAAAAGAAATAAGCAATTTTATCTTAAACAATTCTGTCTTAAATTTTTTAATGTATAAAATAAATATTATAAATTATTTAAGTAATTATTGGATTAATGTTACATGTTATTTTAGAAAAGTTATAACCATTTCTATGTTCATATTCCTCTATAAAATTATCTTCATAAGTTACATTTTGTGTTACTTCAATTTCTAATTTATTATCTGCAAAGTAAGGTTCACTTCGAGTTCGAAATAGGGAAAATGATAGTCTTTTATTGTTAAATTTACAACAATTATTCTCAGATAAACTGAAACAATGAGATACTACCGACAACCTATTCTTCACATTTCCATAATTATTACTTTTTGTTCTGTGAATAAATTGATGTTCAGAATCTTTTAATTTGTTATTCAAACAATTTGAGGAATTTGATTTACTTTTTAATATTACGTTTAAATTATCATTAAAAGTAAGAGATTTCAATATTCCTTTATTTAAACTTACTTGAGCATCTATAACTTCCCAGCAACGTTGCATAAGATCTGGTTCTTCAAATAAACGAGATTGACTTAAAAGTAAACATGCATTTTTTGCTGTTAAACTTGTTTCTAAGTAATTAACACATGCTCTTGCTAAATGAGGGACTATATATTTTTTAGCAACATAAAGTGTTGCTAATACTGTATCAGCTTCTAATTGTACTTCATCACAATACATATACCTGAAAAAAAAATATGAAATAAGTAGTAAATAATTTAATTGTTATAAAAATTAAAATATTCACCTTAATAGAGCAAGAAAAGCAGCAGGTTCAACGTCTGGTACTTCTATATCTCTTTTATTCTCTGCTAATCCACCATAAAACATAGCATAAAATACAGAACTACCAGTAGCTAAAACATATTTATGTGCTGGTATGGTTTGTGTATGACCTATAATGAAAAGTCATATTTAATATTATTTAATGTAGTTCATATATTATTTTATTTTTTTATTATTTATAATATTAATATATATTCAATGATTTTGAATATATTTTGAGTTACCTGGACTACCAACAATAAATATAATATCAGCCATCAAATGATTGTTAAACATGGCAGCATTTCGTTCACGAACTGTAGGTTTTGTTGCTTGCCAATTAGGATCTTGTGTACAGTCTTCAGGTGATGACAAATTTAATTGTGCTAATGGAGATGATAAGGAAGACAATGGTGATGCAGGTGCACTTAGTGGTTGGTTTATTGTCCCTTCACGTTGTAATACAATGGAAGAAGATAATGGGCTTACAGTAGGTGGTGAATCTGATACAGGAATCAGTGATTCCGCTGAAACATATATAACATCAAAATTTTAGATTTAAAAATGTTTTTCTTTTCTTCATTATTTTATGATTAAATGACATGATCATAGTTAAATTAACTAATAAATTAGTTTTGTAAAATTGTTATTTTATTATATTAAAACAATTTAATATATGTATAATCTAATATAAAAACATAATGAATTACATAAAAACTTAATGAGATTATGATATTCTTAAATATTTTTTTATTTATAATGTTTATTATGTAAAGATTAAAGTTAAAAATATATTATAAAAATTTATTAATTATAAAGAAACATTTAAAAGAAATAATATAATTATAAAAATTGTATTATAATTATTATAATTTTATTATAACATATTGATACATTTGAAACATAATTTTTTATATGTATTAATTATATTAAAAACTAATGAGGTTATACAGAGATAAGATAATATTTAATAATGTTTAAGATTCTTAAATAAGATTATTTATTTTATAATTAATTAAACTTCTTTTTATATATCTATATTTTATTCGCTTTAAGGTGTTGTATAATTTATCACTTTTTTGCGACGCTTTAATTAAAACGAACAAAACAAAATCATGAAAATTTTACCCTTAGTATACATTATTCCACACGTTTAAGAATAATTTTGAATAGAATATTTTACTTTTTACAACATGGTAAATATTTATCATTTACTATAGTTTCAAAGACTTCTTCTCATATTCAAATATTATCACCACAAATATACACTTAACTATATATAAATACGTATCTATACATATACATAACATATATACTTTTAGCAAATTTCATCTATGAAAACTTCGAATAATATTGTATTAAGTTCGGTTTGCTCCGTTTTTATTCGTATAATTTCGTAGATTTGTGCATACGTGATACGTATATCAAATAAATGCGTATACGAATGTGTGCATTATTATTATTACATATTTCAAATTATTTGCAGAATCAATGTATTTTTTATCTATAATAATTACATATATTTTATTTTTTCTAAATAATTAATTATTTCAGAATAATTAATATAGAATAATATAGAATTAATATAGAAAATATTTTATAATAATATAATAAAAAAAAACATAAAATCTAATTAAATTTAATTATTTAAAAAATTGCAAAAATATATACAATTATATATATAATCCTAATAAAATATAAATTTTTGTTATATAATTACATAATGTAATTATTTATTTTTATTAATTTACAAATTTTTTTATAATTTTTGACATTGTGTAAATAATATAATTAAAAATAAATTAAATGTTTAAAATATTTCTTTTATACTTTTTGATTTGACAAAAATATATTATTTCGTGAAAAAAATTAAATAAAAAATCATAAAAAATAATTTATCTTATAAAAAATATTAAATTTATATATATATATCAAAATTTCATGTTGTATATTAATTTATAAAATATATTTATGCATACTTTATATAATATTTACAATATTTAATTACATTAATCAAAATTATTTTTAATAAAATTATTTTCAAGTCAAGTATTTCAAACTAAATACATTATTAAAATATTATTAAATATTATTATATATATTGAAGTATAAACATTGCACAAAACAGCAATGTTCTCTAAAAAAATTAAAATAGATAATTTTAAATAGTAATAGTTTTTCATTTATTTATATTCTATAATTTAATCTAATAAATATATAGATAGTATTTAAAATGCATTTTAAATACTATTATGTTTATTTATATCTCTAATAATCTCTCACCATTTAACCATGGATTAGTCTGTTTGACTGTGACGTTATCCTGGAAGCGTTTCATCGGCTTTGTTGATATTTTCGAATAAAGATTTGACATGGCCATTGTCACTTTTTAAACTTGATGCCCGTTTTTTCTCAAATTACAACACAGAACGATTTTGGATTTCAGTTATATGGGCACCATGTCAGACGGGCGCTGGTTAGATAGTTCTGTACTTCGGTCGATAGGCAACTTAGGGCACGCGCGTCCATATATCGGGTGTTTCTCAAAAACGCAAATTTCGATCTGCGCAGTTATATATGTATGTACATTTGACAGACAGTATTCACTTATAATTTAATACATGAATATTTAATATACATCTTACTTATAATAAATTTTAAAAATCATATATTATGTTATATTTTATATTTTTTATTATTTTATTCTTTTCATTTAGATAAGAGTAAAGCACAATATTGTATCTATTATGTTAAAATTTGAACGAAATTATGACATATAATATAATATATTATATGTATTTTAATACATATTGTATTTTTTAATTTATATTGTATTTTAATACAATTTTATATATTTTTTAAATTTAAAATTTTGTATATTTTTGATATTTTTTTTCTTTTATAGATCCATGTTTATATATTATGAGATTTGCAAACAAGTTGGAGTTTGGTGAAAAAACTCATGAAGTATCGATGACAGCTCTACGAATAGTTCAAAGAATGAAAAGAGATAGTATTCATAGTGGACGAAGACCATCAGGTTTATGTGGCGCTGGTATTAAAAAATTTAATTTTTTCATAGTTTAAATTTGTTTTAATTTTTAAATACTTTAATTTAATTTATTTTTTAAATTTTATATATAATTTTTACATAAACATTTATTATTAATATTAATATTAAAATATCAAAAATAATATCGAATCATTAACTTAATTAAAAAAAAAGATCAAATAAATTATGAAATTAAATTAAATCTTATAATAAATTAAATAAATTAATCTTTCAAATTAGCTTTACTAATGGCTGCACGATTGCACGAGTTCAATAGATCACCTGCGGATATTATAAAAATTGTAAAAGTCCATGAATCAACATTACGTAAGAGGTAAAAGATATTCAAATAAATCTATTTTTAATTTTAAATAAATTTAAAATTAATAACTATTTCTTTTATATATTAAAATTTATAGACTTATAGAATTTGGTGATACACCTTCGAGCGCATTGACTCTTGAAGAATTCATGACGGTCGATTTGGAAGAGGAACAAGATCCTCCAGCTTTTAAAATAGCACGGAAAAAAGATAGAGAACGATTACAAAGAGTATAAATATTTTTATTTTATAGTACAATTATATATATATATATAATATATAATATAATATTAATATAATATTAATATAATTCTTTTTAAATTTATTTTTATTTTTTAGTTAGAAAATATAGACACAGAGATAAATGAATTGCAAGCTGAAATTGATAAACAGTTGGAAGACCATAGATTAGGAAAAACAAGAAAACGAAAAGATGGTAATTGTAATAATAATTTAAAAATCAATTATAATTTGTTAAACTATAATTTGTTATTTTTTTAGTAGAATAAAAATTTTATTGTTATCAATTATTTTTTGATTATAAATAGTGTAATAAAATATTAATTTTCAGCTGCTATTATAGAAAAAGAAGATACTGATAGATTTATAAGAGAAAGTAATTTAGATGTAATTAAAAATTATGTTGAGAATGATATAGATGACCCTGATAATGAAATTCAAGATTCTGAATCAAATAATGCAAACAATCGATTAATTATTGGTCTCGGTAAGAATTAAAGTAATTGAAACAAAAAAAAAATATTTAATAAACTTATGCTAAAATTATGCTAAATGTATTTAATAAAATTTACAATATTAAAGGTCCAAACATTGCTTCTATGGGATTAATATCAGCAAATAATCGAGAAAATGAAACGAAAGAATCAGTAAACATAAATTTTGAAAATGTAAATAAAATTAATTCTATTAAAATAATTATCATTTATTAACAATTATTACTTTCTATTTTAGAATTCTGGAGAAATTGACGTCGCTGATTTAGATGATGAAGAATTAGATAGTTATATTATGTCGGAAAAAGAAGCACAATTTAAACATAACTTATGGAATAAAGTTAATGCTGAATATTTAATTCAGCAAAAAGAAAAAGAAGAAAAACGGCAAAAAGAAAAAGAAGAGGGTAAACCTGAAAAGAAACGACGGCGAACTACTAAACGTAATAAGAGTCAAGCTCCTGCAAATACTGCAGGTATAATATTATTAATCGTAAATGTGATTGAATTAATACTTTAATTTTTTTTTAATTGTTAAAATTTTTTTTTAATATTATTAGGAGAAGCAATTGAAAAAATGTTACAAGAAAAAAAAATATCATCAAAAATTAATTATGAAGTATTAAAAAGTTTAAATGTAAGTTTAAATACTTCAAAAGAGCAACAAAAAAATTGAAGAACCAATTCAACCATCAAAAATAGAAATAAATAATATAGCAAGTTCTAGTAAAATGTTAGTATAATATTTGTAATGTTAATTTTTTTTTTTAGAAGAAATATTAATTAATGTTATATTTATGTTTATGTCTTTTTTTATTTTTATATAGATCTAATGTTTCTATTTCAATGAAAATTCAAGATAAACCAATTACACCAATAACAAAGAAATCTCGTTTAGTTAAACCACAGATTCAACAAACAAAAAAAGAAGAAATACAAACATCTAATGATATAGAATTTAGTGACATAACAGAATCTACCCTTTCAAGAATGAATGCTTGTGATATAGGTAAATTATTAGTTTATCAAAATTTTTTTAAAATTTAAATTTTATTTTATTTGATTAATTATTATTCTATTTTATATTTATAAAATATATAGATGAAACAGATGATTATGTTGATGAGGATATTGAAACTGATCCTACAGAAATGACTGTTGGAGAAATGCTTGGACATCATGGATCAGAAAATGAAAATGATTTTGGATATGGATATGATGAAGAAGATTATTGATTATTTATAATATTTTACTTATTTATTTAATTATAATACCATTAGAACTCAGTAAAAAGACTGCTGTAAAATTATGTACAAATAAAGCATTTATTATTGTTTTTCCTTTTTTTTTTAAATATATACTTTAAATATATAATTTTTCTTTATATATATAATTCATTTATAATTTTTTTTAATAATGTTCTAGAATTGTTATAGTTTAATTAATTTCGCCTCTTAAATCTCTTTACATTTTCATTGAAAAGCATTCTGAATAAAATTTATAAAAATATATATGTATATATATAAAAATACAAAATATAATTATTAATATTTATTGTATTTTTTATCTCATGAAAATTATTTTTTTTAAATTAAGATGTTGTCTAAATTAAGAAATTTTGAAAAAGAAATTATAAAATATATTGATATATTTAATTCATATCCTTCATCTTGATTATAATTATGTATATATCACAATCAAGATTCAAGAACAGTTATAGACAAGAATAAAGTAAAAAATAGTAAAAGAAGAACAAGGATAAAAATATTTAAATCAGCTATTACTTTCAGAATGTCACAAATAAAACAAAGAAATGAGACTAATATAAAGAATAAGAATTGATTGTTAGCACTATTTTAAATTCTAGAGATATTTTTTTCAAAGACAGAATAAGATAAAATTAGAAACTTTCTGGAGTGAAAGTTTTAGAACATATCCTATTTTTGAAAATATATTTTTGGTATTTAAGAGATGGAGCTAATAATCAATTCTTATATTTCTCATTTTATTCTTCTATTAATTTTTCTTTTTTATATGTTTCATTTGCGGTATTCTGAAGATGGCGCTGATTTCAATATGTTTATGTTATCTCTATTTTTTTTTCCATTACTCATTATTCTCTTTGTTCTCCTTATCTATTCTGCAAAATTGAAAGTTGAAATTATTTTTAAAATCCACTCATCAAATGTTATCAAAAGCTACAAAAATAAGTAAAAAATTGTGTGTCCTCTAAAACAAAACTTAAATTATTATAAGAATAAATCACGATATATTTAAAGTAGGCTGTAATAAATATATATTTTTTATAAATCGAAATTATATTTGTTTCTATGGTATATTAATTGGTCTATAATATTTCATTCAAATTAGTATTTTTATTTATAACATTTCATGATATTACATATACAATTCTACAGATTTGTATTATTATATTATTTATACTTTGTGTTAATTATCTATTGTAATCAATTTAAAAGTTTTAATTCGCATAAAATATCTAATTTGTTTTAAAGAAATAATAAATAATCAAAATTGTATTGATAGATGGCGTTAATAATGCAATGCAGTAAAGATCAAAGTAACAGTCTATCATTATATTATAAATGTTGTTCAATTGGAAACAATCATAAGAAATAATCTAATTCAAAGTATTGAATAAAAGTATGATTTTAATTCTTATTATATATATATATATTTTTTTTATGTCAAAAATTTGATAAAAGTTTATAAATATAATTCAAATAATATATATGTGTATATATATATCTATATATATATATGTCATATATATATATATATGATATACATTTACAAAATAAGTTCTTAAATATTAAATTATGTGATATCAGTTTATATCAGTTTTATTTAGTAATATGACAGTTAATTATTTTTTTTATTTATTTATAAGATATTGAACACTTAATATAATTAGTACAATAATTTTATTTATTTTTCATAATTAACAATTCATGTTATTAATTGTTATCAATTATAATATGTAATTGATCTTATGTAATATTTAAATATTCTTTAATTTTCTTTTTTTAAACTACAAAGATTTAATATCAACATATGATGATATTAAATTACAATAAAATTAAATAATCAATATATATAATAATTAAATTATATTTTTATCTATTTTAAAATTTTTAAAACTTTGAATATAGATTGAATATGGCAAGCACTTCTTCTGATCAAAGCACTATTGCTAAAAAGACATGGGAAATGTCAAATAATATTGAAACAATCAGCACGGTTGATGAAATTTATAGATATGATCGAAAAGAACAACAGGATATATTAGCAGCAAAACCATGGGAAAAAGAGTATGTTGTTTTTTATGTAATTCTATACTTTTAAATTAAGATGTTTTATTTTAGATATTCTATACATTATTAAAATATATATTTTTTATTCTATTTTTTAAATATATATTTAATTATGTTTCAGTCCTCATTTTTTTAAAGATATAAAAATCTCTGCATTAGCATTATTAAAGATGGTTATGCATGCTCGTTCTGGAGGAACTTTAGAAGTAATGGGTCTTTTGCTTGGAAAGGTTGCAGCAAATACAATGATTGTTATGGATTCTTTTGCATTACCTGTAGAAGGCACAGAAACAAGAGTTAATGCACAAGCACAAGCATATGAATATATGACAGCATATATAGAAGCAGCTAAACAAGTATTTTTTTGTTATTACAGATATAATTATTAAGAAAAATTTTTATTATAATAAAATGTTTACTGTTTATTTATTAAGGTTGGAAGACAAGAAAATGCTATTGGATGGTATCATAGCCATCCTGGTTATGGATGCTGGTTATCAGGTATTGATGTATCTACACAAATGCTTAATCAAAATTTTCAAGAACCATTTGTTGCTATTGTAATTGATCCTGTAAGAACAATATCTGCTGGTAAAGTTTGTTTGGGTGCATTTAGAACTTATCCAAAGGTAAATATATTGTTAGAATATAAAATATATATATATATATATAAAGAAATAACAAATAATAACAATATTTATTTAATATAAAAAGGGATATAAACCAGCAAATGAAGAGCCATCTGAGTATCAAACAATTCCTTTAAATAAAATTGAAGATTTTGGTGTTCACTGTAAACAATACTATTCTTTAGAAGTTTCTTATTTCAAATCATCATTAGATAGAAGATTACTAGATTCTTTGTGGAATAAGTATTGGGTGAATACATTAAGTTCTTCTAGTCTTTTAACAAATGCTGATTATACTACTGGACAAATATTTGATTTATCAGATAAACTTGAACAATCAGAAGTTGCACTTGGAAGAGGATTTATTTTAGGTGGAACAGATCCCCATGATCGCAGTACTGTAGAAAAATTAATGAAAGCAACAAGAGATAGTTGTAAAACTACTATTGAAATTATTCACGGATTAATGGCACAAATAATCAAAGATAGATTATTCAATCAAGTTGGGTGTAATCCTATTGAATCTCAACAACAATAAATTATGTATGAAGCATAATAATTAAGATTAATTATAATAATAAGATTGATCATAATAATTTAAAATTAATACGTAAAATGTATTTATAATATAAAGAATACTTTTAATTAAATTATAATAAAAAAAATAAATCTGTCTTTTTATACGATATATTTATATATAATATTTTTTTCTTAATATCTATATTGAAATTATTATTGCATAAAATGATTAATAAAAAGTATAAAATTTAAAAATTTAAAATCTAAAAATAAATAAGAGAAATGCATTAATACAATATTTTCAAAGAATAATGGAATAAAAATACATTTTATTTTCACACCTTGAATCTCTAGAAAGTATATATACAGAATCTTTATCATTATTCAATATCCTCACAGTTGATTTATATTTATTTATATTTATAAAACTAATATAATATTGAGAACAAGTAGGTAGAGTATATCCCACTGAAGGGCTGACACTATGTCATAGACTTTAAGACAAGGCCACTCAGAAACACACCCACCTGTTCTAGAATTATACATCGCATTCATAGCGCACAACATATAAGGGACGGAGCTAAAATGCATACAGTTATACTGATAATATATTTACTAATATGTTCTGATAATTATGCTTTAAAAAAAATTTAGGAAGAAAAATAGTAAAAGAATTTATCAACTTAATTATTCAAAATATTAGATTATTTATAATACTAGAATTAATCGCGCTTAAAATCTATATATTCATATAATTCTCTTACAATAAGATAAATTAAATACAATTAAGTACAACTGTCTTGTAATTTCATTTACATAAAATCTTGAAAAAGATAAATATTTGTAAAGTTGCTATTGCTACTTTTTACACAATTTATTATGTATCGTTTCGCACAATTTAAACGCACATTCATTGTTAAATATTTCACATAAGAAGAAATAACATGTATAAAAAGATATGAATTTTAGTTTCAAAGATTAGTTCAAAATTTAGTTCAATTCATTCATACAATTTTCAAATTCATTAAATTAATAAAAATTTAAACTTTTAATTTTTTAAAAAAATTAAAACATTTTTCTTACATTTTTTATATATTTAAATAAATTCTATAATAAAAAGGAATGTAAAAATATTTCTTTACATTATAATTTTTTCTAAATTTTTTGTTAGAAATATTCAAATTTATATATTCTTAAAATAATATATTACGAAACAAAACATAGCATATAAATCATAATTTTGTTTTAGATTTTTGTGCATAATGTTTAATAAATATTTTTAATATAAATAAATATTTTTTAGTGAAAAATATTTTTTCACAGTACGAAGACATGTTATATGTTACATTATAAAATTCTTGTAATAATTTTCAGATAATATAATTTTTAATATTCGATTTAATAAATTGTGATATATTTAGGAAAAATTCTTTTTTAAACTTTCATACAAATTTAATTTTCTATGAAAAAAAATTGTTAATAATTTTAAATAATTTCACAAATGAATATATATATATATAAAATAAATTGACAACTAGAATTCAGCCCTCCAATGATGTCATATACTCCAAATACATTCAAAACAGTATAAACACCACTCATAACATTGTAAATATGGGATACTAGCAAACGTACCCGCTACATGTATATGTATTTATGTGTAATTTCTTTCTTATCTAAAAAATTTTTTGTGAAAGAAGCAATGCTCCTCTGCTAATTATTGACATGACAATCGTATGTAAATAAAGAATCTCATTTTACATTCCTCATAATAAGAATTTAACTATTCCTATGTCACTGTAATTATTTAATTATTTACAAGGCAATTGCGTCCATTTATTACTTATAAATAGTAAAATTACTTATAAGTAGTAGAAAAGATCAATTATTATAACGGGATTTGTGTGCTTGTCGTTGATAATTGGGCAGCCATATTTTTAATGACAAACACTTTTTATCTGCATTGTCGATTGATTTTAATAATTTCTGTTATTATATATGTTTTTTGTTTGAATTGTGCTATATGAAAAATTATATGTTAAATCAGAAGTTATACGATCATAAATTCAACAAACCAAATAACAGTGTTGCATGTAATATTATTCTATCTGTCTAATATTTAATTAGAAAAAATATTTACACATTTCACAATACATGCAGCATAGTACAAGTGAAATTTTACATTCCTTTCTTTCTCTGTTGAAATTTAATTATTTCAATATAATGATAAATTTTACTATTTTTGAAAGATTTCAAAATGAATATATATCATACCATCTGCTCACTAAGCACCATTTTTAATCAATTATAAATCTATTTATTTATTTTATAATCTAGATAACTATTTATTTTATTAACAATATTTGTTTAAAGAGTACTAAAAATTGTTTTATTTATTGTATAAATTTTCAATTATTTAAAAGAAACTTTATTTACCATTATATCCAATATGACATTAAATTTAAAACAATTTTTACACAAACTTATTTACAAAAATTATACTTACAAAAAGCTAAATATATATTTAAATTTTTTACAAACATAAAATATAGCTTGTGAGCAGATGAAAAACTTACAGATTCATATTAAAGAAAAAAATTAAATTCATAATAATTTGATTTTTATCAAATCCATGTCCAATGAATTATTAGATTAATCAATCAGTTTTTATCAAACATATCCTTTTACCATTATATTTTTGTTTTATTCAATGAAGAGATGAAATTCAGTCCATTTAAGACTCAATTACTTATTTAGACAGGTATATGTACAATTGTCTTTTTTAATATATCTTGTCACTGTGATATTAATGAAGGAAAATTATTCACTTCTGTTTGTTCCAAAACTGGTCCTGTTGGTCCAGTATATGATATACGTAATCTCATTCTTAAAGGTACCTATATTAAAAAAATACAAAAATAATTAAAAAGAAAGGAAAAGACATTTATAAAATCATCTTTTATGTAACATTGTTACAAAAACATACTTTATTGATATTCGTAATTTTCAATACTTGAGTAACTTGTCCAGAGGGAGGAATGACTGTGCTTGATGGTGATAACATTTGTAGTTGGAATGTCTAAATAATAAAATATAAAAAGTGATTTAACATTTTTTTACATAGAAATAATACAAATAGTGATTGTTACCTTAGGAACTGCTGCTTGAAATAAAAAATCCGTTAATATTGCACTTCCAGAATTTTGAGCTGACATATTAATAATTAATAAATCAGCAATATCTGGAGATCTTTCTAATCTAAAGATTATTTTAAGTCCTGCTTTATCCAATACAATCATAGTAAGAGTATCTAAGTTTCAAAATAAAATAAAATGTTATTTTATAATATAAATAGTATGAAATAAATAATATATTACATTAAACAAACCATTTTGAACTGATGATGAATTAAGCAAACCATCTACTAAAAAATTGGTTGTATTAGTGGGATTAAATATTTGCGATGATGTTTGTGTCTGTGGTAGTGTAGATGTAGATGTGGGTACATTTAAATCCAAACTACCAAGAAGGTCCAAAAGATCATTATTGTTTACTATAGTTGTTGAATTAACAGATGTATTTTTATTCGATACCGAAGGTGTCATTCCTAAGTCAGTAGTTCCAAGCAAATCTAAAAGGGCACTCTAAAATATAAAAAATTTTAATAACTTCTTATTAATTAGAAAATTGATAATAATAAATTATATTTTACTATACAAGTTATTTAATTTAAATTCAATTAAAATATTATTATAAAATATAAACTTACTGAATCAGATGACGGACTACTTGCTTCTAAGACTGAAGATTTTTCTTCCTCTGGTTCTGGTTCACCATTTACCATACCAATAATTCCATTAGCTTGTGGTCTTGCAGTTTCCATAGGAGGCATTCTTTCAAGTAATGCAGGTCGTAAATGATCATATTTTCTGAATAATTGTGAAAATTCAATACCTCGTTGTTGTAATTCTATATGTAAATTACTTCCAAATGTATCAATTATTTGACGAATTTTTCTGAAATATAAATAAAAGAATACAAGCAACTACATGAGAAAAAATCTAAATGTAAAAATATTATAAATAATCCTAATTAATTATTTTAACAATACTTACTCATTGCCTTTCTGGAATCTTGTGCTAAGTTTTGTGAGAGACAATAAAGTATATTGCTTTGTAACGACTGTGTTTTGTGGATTCCATAATAACCTTTGATAGACATCAATAACTTCATCTTCTGTTAACTAAAAAATAATAATAGAAAAAAGAAATTATATATTATACATTATTACATAATATTTTAAAGTTAGAATAAATGAACATAATATTTAATAAATAAACATACATTAACAGGAGCATCTATATCTTCTAATGGTGGCCCATATAATAATAAATCACCATATTCACCAATACACCATGTTGCTACTTGAGCCAAAGGTTGTTTATCAGATGTATCTTTTTCTAATGCTTTCCATAATGCGCTGACAGCATAACTTTGTTGTGATTGTGTTTCTGAAATTAATTGAATAGTGCATGCTACTACATCATCTCGAACATAATTACCAGCCTAAAAAAACAAAAAAATTATAATATCAAAGATTAAAAATATAATTAAATATAATTATGAAATAAATTTCATACAGCAACAAGAACTTTGAATAGTGTTTCAAGATGCCAACGTTTATTTGGGGCAAATCTTTCTGCAGACATTACTATATTACTACTACATTGAGCTTTAAATTCTGGATCAGCACGTTCCAAGAAAAGCAATAATTCCTTCATCATATTTCTAATATTGTTTGAATTTACAAGTGCAAAACTAAGCTCCATTGCTCGTTTTCTAATTGATACATCGGGATCTTTTAGACACTCCTAAAAAACAAAAAATAAAAATAAATTTAATTATTAATACGATAAAAATGTAAAATTATAAAATAATATAACATTACCAAAATTGTTGAGCGATGTCTTTGTACTGCACTTGTATCTACATAAACTGTTTTTAATAATGTATTCAAAGCAACATATCGGATGTTTTTATCATTATTTAATAAAAATCGACCTAATATATTCACTGCTAATACTCTGAGTCCACTTTCAGATTTTATATCCATAATAGATAATACAGTTTCATATAGAATTGTATTTCCAACATTTTTACTAGTTTCTGTATTGGTTGCAACTTGTGCAAGTATATCATTCATTGCTTCAGATGCATCAATATCGTTACGCCCTAAGATTCGAAGAAGACGCAATATCTTTACTTGAAGAAAAGGATCAGATACTCCAGATACATCGTGTTCTGGAGAATATCCTGCTAGTATCAAATTCTTTAAAATTCGTACAAGATTTGGCACAATCTGAAATAATAATTTTATTTTTATTACATAATATATTAGTATGATTTTAGATAAAAAAAGTTTAACATAAAAATTTCTAAACATATAATAATAAATAATCATAATAAATGATATGTAATATTTTCGTTAAAATTTTTCATATAAAATGCAACTTGTTAAATGCAATATTTAATAAAATATAAAAATAATGATATATTTTCTTATATTTAAAAAACAAATATAAGCTACTATATAAATATAAAGTATATTATAAAGTATATTACTGAAATAATATAAATATTATTTATATACAAACAAATATATTTTGATATCCATAATATAATTAAAAAAATATTTAATAAAATTATATTCTATATAAAAATATATTTTATTTATTCATGTATAATACTATAATATAATATAAGAATATAAGAAAGAACATATCAAAAAATATAAAACAAAAAAATATAAATATAGGAACAAAAAATATAAAACATATTATTAAAATATTATTTTAACAATTAAATCATTGTGACTATTCAATATTAATTTTAAAAAATTATATTTAAATTTTATTTTCAGAAACTTAATTAATACTAGATATTTATTCATTATATTAAAATAATAAAATAATATTATAATAATATCATAATCTTAAATACATGCATATTTTTATATTTCATATGTATTAAAGAAATAGTTAATATGAGTAATGAAGTATTTCTAATAAAATGATAAACTAAAATATAAAAATATGGAATTTATAATAAGCATAAAAAATATAGAATAGCATGCAAAAAATATGGAAAATGTTCTCGTATGCTTTTTACCTCTCGATGGCCGCATTCCTAAGAAAGATAAAACCATACTTATATTATGAATATAATTATGAGCAAACTTAGTATATTAAAAAATTATTTTACAATTATTAAAATTATTAATTATTTAAATATATTATTAGTCATATATTTAATATATATATAAAACATTTGGATTTTATTAATATTAAATATATAATATTTTCTTTTATTCATTTTATTGATTTTATATTATTATTAATTAATTTTCCATAATTTTTTTTAATCATTTTAATTTGTCTACATTGAAAAAATTTGGTTAACATTACAAATTCAATACTTTGATTAACTATTAATACTACCACAATCTAACTTGCAATTATTAGATATATGTGTCTATATACATGTGTGTGTGTGCGCGCGCGCACACACGCACACGCACACACACACACACATTATATTATATACAATTAAAAAAATTTAAATTAGACTAAAAAAATAAATACTATTATTTTCTATTATTAATTATATTCTATTTAATTTTCTTTGATGCAATGACAAAATGTTTGTAATATTAGTTAAAATTAGTTATCTAAATAGTTTATTACCTTTTTAAAACATGTAAAACTTACCTTTTTAAAATGATTTAAGGTATCAACACTGTTTTCACACATTTCTGTAATAAGTGTAACACCTGTAATTAATACACCATGATTTTTTTCTGTAATTAAACTACGAGTAGCAGGTAGAAACATTTCCATCAATTCTGGTACACGTCTAATAATTCTAAATGCACAAAGTGCTGCTTTCTTCCGAATATATGCATTTGCTGATTTCATTAGCCTCTCAACTTCAGATGCCAAATCTCTTGCCATTTCTGGTGATGCAATTGCACCCAAAGTACATAATGCCAAACCAATGACAAATTGTGTGGAACTATTTAAATCACTAGATAAGAAAAATTATATTTGAAGTTTCAAAGTAATTATATTCTTTAAAGAAATTTAAAAATAATTTTATATGAATATTACTTTTTTAAACAATTTGTAATTAAAAGATGAACATCCTGTCGTTCATCTAATAGTAACATTGCACCTAAGTAACCAATTCGTTTATCTGTGAACCTTGGAGATGCAATAAGTTTTAGACATTCTAATTGGCCAAAATGAGCGGGATATCTATAAAGTTACTTAAAATTATATTTTTAATAAAAGAACATTTTTTAAAAATATATATTTTTAAAAATATATTCTTAATATATTCTTAAATGTATATTAATATATCCTTAAATATATTCTTAAATGTAGAAATAAAATTTTACAAACCCAAGCATATGTATGTATAAAAGTTTTGCAATATTTCGACATCTCCATACACTATCCTCTTCTCTAAATGTAGAACGAATATAAGCACATTCTTTGTTAACAACTGTCCTTTCTTCTGCTGCAGTTCTAGCAGCTCTTATTTGTCTAATAAGATCTCTCAATCGTGTTGGTGCAGGCATTCTAACTGTTGAGACTTTTAAATTATGCATATGTTATGAAGTTTAGTGTTAGTAGAATTTAATGAGTTAAATTTTCAAACTATGAAAAAAAATGATCATAGTGATTATCATATTTTTTATAGAAAATATAAAGAATGATATAGAATACAAGTTTCATATTCTTTTAATTATATTCACTTTATTTTTACATTATGTTTATATTTTTTTTCAAAACAGATGAACAAATAATATTTATATATAAAAATTATTAATATATTTATTATTAAAAATAGTAAATTCAAAATAGAATTGAGTTAATTATTATTTTAAACATATACATATATATAATAATATAAGAATTTATAAATATTTTATATTATATATATGAATTTTAAGATATTATATGTATTTCTTCATGATATTCTTTTAAATGAATGTTTAATGATAAATTCATAGATATATAAATATTACATTTACCTCTTTCTACTGCTTCATTAAATGCTTGTTTTATAGAGGCCATGTTAAAGGCTGGGTTAAACCTGCAATGTACACACCCATGCTATTTACACACACAAACCATTTACATACCATTTTTTTGTTGTGCAATGACACCCATAATATGATTTCAATTGTTCGTTACTTCAAAGAACAATGTTTTTACAAGCAATATTAAAAATCATTATTGAAATAATACAATTGTTATCATTGCAATAACAAATTGTTTCTTATAAAATAACTTTACTAAAATTAATGACAATTAATATAATATTAGATAGGAGAAAAATTAACAATAATTAATTTAATATTTTTTCATTACAGAAAAATATTATTATCAATATTTATTAATTAATTATTAATTAAATATTTACTAAAGATATCTATTAGATATGTTAAAAAATATATTACCCGTGTTCTGAAGCATTCATGGTTCTCAATGATGTTTTCAAATATATATGATGAGCTTCAGTAATACAAATGAACACACACTGTTTTCTTCCTATTAGGAAAAGGTCATATAAATGTAGAATAGTATATATAGTATATATTGTAAAAATTTGAAACAGCTATAAATATTATATTATAATATAAATAAAAATAAGATTATGTTCTCTATTATACTTTTCTTAAAAAATATTTAATTATTGAATCAAACAAAAAATAACATTTTAAAGTTACAATGAAATAAAACATACCTTAACATTATCTTCATATATTACATATAATATATATAATATATATGAAGAGAAAACATGTGATTAAAAATTATGTTTATAATTAATGTGAATTATAATCTATTATTTATCTATCTAAATTTATAAATAAAAATAATTATGATAAATTATGAATAATAAAAAATAAATTTCAAAATATTACATTTACAAATAGATAGTAAATATATTTATGTCATAAGCTTATAAATATTCTATAGAAATAGCATAACATAATTATAAATAAATATTCTATAGAAAATACAAACATAATTATAGTTTATTTATTGAATAGAGAACATAAACTTAATATCTTATTTTTGCGTTGTAAGACATACAATAAATACAAAATAACCGGTTTCGCTGACGAAATCTAAGTAGTCGATCAGAAGAGTGCAAGGCATGCAATGGATATTACCTAGTTTTTGAATGTCATTCGACCACAAATTCACGTGCTATAAAAACGCGTCGCGGTCGCACGCTCGTACAAGTCGGCAGCATATTGTAAAATGTGTAAACCGGTTATATAAAAGATCGTTCGCACTGAAGGGCATCGAACCAAGGGTTAGTTTTCTAGCTGTCAAACAGTACCAGTCAAGGACGTCGTTTTCAGGAAACTCGAGTCCGGAAATCTAACGTTTACAACACACGTATGAAACGGTACGAAGCCGCTTCAAGTGTATTGTCGTCGCCCACCTTTTACACAAGTCGTATGACAAATACGGCGAGAAATGCCTCGCCTCCTAGGGCGCGAATTGTGCGCCCTCACTCACTTTTGCATAGTCTATTCTGCACCTGGTATATTGGCCTGTATCGGTTTATATATATATTGCATTCCGAATATTTTCTTCCAACTTGACTTTTTATCGTTAACAATACGTACCGTACGAGACTTTGATTCACTGTAAGGGGTTAATCAATTGCGAAAAAAACTATGGACATAGTTAAACGTCCACAGTCGTTTAGTCTATCATACGACAAATACTTTTCACGATGGTCCACGATATTCGCGTACCAAAAATCAAAATGGCTACCCATTTTCATTGACGTTGTTCCTGATAATATTGGGACTTTTCATTTAATGTTATCGTAACCATTTTCCACGCTACACATGTTTCACAATTGAAACATCAGTGAACAGATATATTGATCATTCTTTCTCGAAATTCAAATTGTTTCACTTGTTTGTAGCCTTAATTGCACGTTTCATATTTATACTTTTGCTCAACGTAGTGAATTAGAATGATGTTCATTTTTAAAGCGCGAAATTTGTATTCCATCTTAAAGTGAAATTTTATGATCCATTTTTTCTTTATTCCGATAAGATAATCGTTATTGAAATTTTAATGATGTAAATTTTCATGTTAAAAATAGAATATAATAAAATATAATATAACAATTTAAGAACTTATTATGAAACATTAATATATAATCTGAGTGTCATTGCACAATTTATATTAAAAATAAATAAGTCGTAATATATATTTATAATATATTAGCATGTTTAAATATAATTGTAATCTATTCATTCATTATACTAAATTAAATGATATAATAATAAAAAATAAATATTTATACTTAATTATTGCAAAAAAAAACAAAATATATATGTAAATATAATTTTCGAATTTCTTATAAAATAATTTTTAATCTAATAATTTAAACTATATATTTATTATTGATTAATGTTATTAATAAAATACTTATTAAAAACATAAAGTTAATAAATATAAATATAATTAAACAAAATTGCATATATGTATATATATATATATATATATATATATATATATATATATATATATATATA